GAAATTTCTCTCACTAAAATCGACTACGTGACAAAAACCTGAGCCACCCCCCCGCTCCTTTGACTGACCGTAGTATTTTAAAGACTCCGCTCCCCCCCTAAACGGGTCACGTAGTATGGGTACGTTCCCTAATATAGATTGGATCTACATTACTACAGGTTGACCAGAGATCTATTCAGTACTAAAGTGTAATATTTATACCCATGTTTTTATCATTCACCTAGTCGCCGACTATTAGTCTAATAACTAAAGTCCTTTGCTGTTAAGTATTGCCAATATTTGTTACAAAGTAGTGTATTTTTATCTTGCGTTTTAATTCGAAGTTCCTGGTCTAATCCCTCACGATAACTATACTGAGACCTTAAAACTCATATCTCAAGGTAGGTGGCGGAATTTACGTCGTACATGTCTATGGACTCCAATAACCACTTAAAATCAGGTGGGCTGTGAGCTCGTCCACCCATCTAAGCAATAAAAAAAGGAGTACAGTCAAACCTGGGTAAGTGAGAACTGGATAAGTGAGAAAACTCTATAAGTGAGAGTAATAGCCAGGACCCGTCATTTTAAGCTCCCAAAACCTCTATTAGCGAGAAACAGAAACCTCTGTAAGAGAGAGTCGTTTTTCCCTCATGGACCTCCGTAAGTGAGACTGCTACTTATCTGTACTTCTATAAGCGACAGTCAAGCTTTATTTATCTATATTATTAGGAGGAACTAATGACAAAATAAATTACAAATTTAACATCTGCTATTTTATTGACTCTTTCTTAACTTTCGTGGAACTTCCTACCATTGTTTTTGTCTTGTTTTCTCGTCAATATTAAACCTATTCTATTTCGTGGAACTAAATGACGTTGTTATTTTATCGCATTCTTTTCAAATGGACACGTGTGTACCGTCCCGTTTGTCGGACTTACTCAATCGTTAATCAATTGCGAAAGAAAGTTCTGCTCTGCATCATGTCAAAACGGAAAATTAAAGTACTGTCATTAAGTGATAAACTTAAAATAGTGAATGCATCCGGAAAATCGCGGAATGAAATTCAGAGGGAGCATTAGCGAGAAACTCGGGTTAGTGAGAAACCTCTATAAGCGAGAATGAGATTGTGCTCCCTTGAACTCTCGCTTATCCAGGTTTGACTGTATTTGGCATTTGGGTACACGTAGTGACATCTACAAGTTGTAGTTATTTGGCGTAACGAATGACCACAGCTGCCTAGAGCAAAAACTTTCTTCTCGAATGCTCTTTCCGCAATTTAATCTCAATAAAGCAGTTCCGAAACTAAGTATATTATTATCTATGGTCTAAATCTTGAAGTTGCCAAGTTGAAAGTCAAACGTATATAAAATTTTTAGAGTTTATTTTTTTTAAAACACTTTAATCACAAAACGTCCTGTGTAAGAAATGCAATGTGAAATAAAATAATAGGTAAATTCTGCTTACTTTTAAATACCACAGAATCAATAGATAGTTAAAGATAAATCAAAGTGATCCTATAGTTAGCATTAAAGCATTCTTTTATAATGTCTCTTGAGTACGGAAGATGAAATTCAGTAATGATAATTAATACAGCCTTGACAAATTTAGCCGTTTTTATTTAACGTGCAACTTTTATTGTAATATTAGCAACGATTGTTTCATAAATGTAGTTTTTGAGAAAATTTCTTAGCCAGAAAATAATTTTTAGTTCGACGTTTTTGAATAAGCGGTATTGGCGAAATGCATCATTTCAAATAAATTTTCTGATTTTGTTAATTCTTATCAGAAAAATGCCGGAAAACAATCGCTTTTCGTTATTCTCTCAATTGTTAAATTAAGCGTCGCTTTTTTGTGTTCGTATGTTCCGATATTAGTATTGTTATTTTAATACATTTCACAAATCATGAAGACAAAACTGCTCAGTGAGTTTCTCGCCGGATCTTCTCAGTGGGTCGCATTTCCGATCCGGTGGTAGATTCTGCGAAACACTGCTCTTGCTAGGGTCAGTGTTAGCATCACTCCGGTTTGAGCTCACCTACTAATTAAGGTTACGCTGGAATAGCCTCTCAAGGCTATCAGCTTAGGTAGAAGAAAAAAAAAACTTGTACGAATTATCACACATTGGCCAGCCAGGTAATGCATATTTATATTCTACCAACTTCATATGTCAATTTACAAATGAACAATTATGAACAATTCACTAACATTTTTTGTTACAGACGAACTGCTAGCAGAATATACAATAACTATGGGCAAATTAAAAGAAGTATGTGAAGACGCAAAGGTCATATACAAGAAATCTCACAACACAATGACGACGCAGTCCAGAACTTGCTCTGGCTTTTCGCAGTACCAAAATAAATATGAAATAATTGAGCACAATTCACATACTAATCGAACTGAAACTAAACAAGGCAAAAGAGATTTTAGCATAGAAACGGAAATTTGTATTTTAAGAAGACATTACGGTAACAAACGCAATAAGCTATCGGATAAAACTAAATCCAAATATTCAAAAGGAGGTAAAGACATTAATAATGAAGAAGTCAAAAACGATGGGAGTGCATGCGGAGACAATGAAAACAAAGAAAGTACTAAATCACGCAAAGACGTAACTCGTATTCTAGTTGACAACCTAAAAGGATTAATTAACTGTTTGATTCAAAATTATTTATTGGAAAATGGAGCGAACAATCAAAGAAAAGCAACAGTTCTAGACTCAATCTTTCATCAAAAGGAAGTACATGTTAATGAAATAGCATCGTGCTCAACTTATATTTTAAATAAATCAAACACTGACCCCGCGAATAAAAACAAAAGTTTGGGCACATCTGTGATGATATGCAAATATTGTAACCGAAAAACATCGGTTTATAAGAAATCGACAAAGTTCGACAAAGTCATAACTATTCATTCTTGCCCGGGCTCTTTTAAGAAACTAGGAGGAATCTCGACTTTAAGCATGCCAAGAACTATAAACAAAAATAATGAAAGTTTCTATAAAGTTAAACAAATTCGACGAAAGCACATAATTTTGTCGTTCAAAGAGTCTAATAGGCTACTCGAATGTTCCAGTTTCGATTTATTAGCTGTGTCAACAAAGTCGTTAACAAAACGCTTTGGAACTTATCACGTCCAAGAAAGACAAAAGAGAAAAGACAAAGGAATTATGACTACAAAATCATTTTGTAAAACTGCTTCAAACTCTACACGTACAAAACGGAGCACACATGAAGAAAGTTCTCATGGAAATATAGAAATTAAAGGCACAATAGAAGTTCTTGATATAGATGAAGCAACTAGTTTACTTAAAACAATTTATGCAGAGAACGACGTTAAAAATCAACTAGTCCCAAATGATCGTGTGCAACATGAAAATGCCCACGGCGAGTCTAACCCTAGCCCAGAAAATAAGACTACTATAAAAAATGATATAGAGGAAATAAAAAGGAACGAAAATCAGTTTCTAAATGAAGTAAATAGGATAGAATTAAATGAACACAATGATTTATTAAAGAGTGACAAAATTACAAACGAATCATTTGAGTCCAGTACAAAAATTGTACATAATGAGGAACCAATACATAGCTTTTGTGAAAAAGCTAATATTTGCAATAACAAAATGGCACCTAATCTGAAAATAAAGCAAAAAAAGATCTCAAAAGTGAATAAAATAAAACGTAATAGAAACAATAATTTTACGTACTATTATAAAAATATTCAGCCAAAAGAAACCAGAGTAGATTATTTGCAATATCTTAAAAGCATTTTTCAATATCTCACTGATAATAAAAGAATTAAATTGGAGATCAATGTTAATGTGCATCCTAACACAGGCAAGGAGACAAAAAGTGTATTTGCGTGTGTTTCAGGACACGATTTCACATTTAATACTCGCAGCATTGATAAAACAGAGGCATACAATGTTAAGCCTTCAATTACATCAGTCAACGGTAATACAGAAACTAGAATTAGTCAAGAGATAATACCGATACTAGACGGGGCAGTCAGTCAAACGAAATATTTATATAACGAAGAAGACACAACAATTAATTCTAATATATCCAAACATACCAATAAAACTTCTAATGCACAAATGGTTAGAGAAATACAAGAACTCCGATCTGAAATAAAGATATTATGTTCAAGGACTGATAAAATTGTAAACGAACAAATAAGAAGAGAAATGATAAAACCTGAACATCAATCGGTCAATTCTAAACATTATTTGGAGAAGTACTCTAAAGGCATCCAAATATCTAATGATTTTAAAAAAGGTATACCCTCGTCTGGATTAAAAATATCAAAAGAACCGAAGAAAGAAATGGATTTCTACACTAGAATGATGAAACGTAGCTCTTCATACAACGTCATAGACAGTGAGTCTGTAATCAGAGTTACTGACATGACATTGCCTTATGATAGTTACGCTGAACAAAAATATGTAGACGAAGCGTTATATTGTTCTCTACCAAAATCTAAATCTCTTTTTGAGATGAACAATCAATATGTAGCGTACTATTGTGAAAAATGTTCAAATTGTAGTAGCAGCCTTAGTCAAGATAAAACTGAACGCAAAAGGAAAAAATGTCCCGTGACAAATTCTTCGTGTGAATGTAATGATGAATCGGCCGAAGCTTGTGATGCTCCGACTATGAGGGATTCAAAGGTTCAAAGCTTTCCTGATTGTTCCACAATATCCATAAACGATGACGAAGATCTAGAAATGAATAAAGTTGTGGTGTTACGCAGAAATGGAATGGGTTTTGGTGAAGGTTTAATCTACTGTTTGATACTTTGGATACCTGCCATAATTATAGCGTTTCTCTTTTACGATTACGTTTTAAAAGATATATTATTTCAAAGGCCTCGTTCACTTAAGTTAAATGCGAAAGGTTTTAATTTGAATCTAACTGATTTGGGTTTCTAGTCGTTGTCTTGTTTTTTTTTTTTGTAAAAATAGTCGTTTTCTATAAATAAAATTCGGTACTATTGATGTTTTTATTTTTCATTTTTTTGGTTGTTTATCGACGGACCAGTTGATCTGATATTTAATTATTAGCAATTCTTTAAAACTTTTACGAGTCGAAAAATGTTTAACTGTTTTTCTATCTTTTTCAGTGACCTTATAGGACAGGGCCAAAACAAAAATGCTGAATGATCAAGCCAATACGCATTGGGAATTCGCGGAAGTGCCAAATCTAACACCTGAATCAAATTTGACAATTAATGAAATTGAAAACTTTGATTACTCAAAATCTGAAAGCAAAGTATTACATGAAGAGTCTAGATTCATAAAATTCATTGAATCAAATGCTTTTATTCCGTTTATTGACAGCGATAATTCTAAGAACAGTACATTTGATTACATTATTAGTCCTATAGACGTACACGTGGAACCCCAAGTAATCTTCGATGCAAATATAACTCGGAAGGCCATTGGAGATAAATTGACAAAGAAAAGTACAAAACACAAAAGAATAATCACGTTTAAGAATATACATTTTAAATACAAAACACCGAAATACACTATGGAGAAGCGTTTTAATACTCATTATAAAAATCGATACAGAAAATCCAAACTGGATGCTAATTATGTGATAAATTTTGATACAAATTTATCTCAATTAGTTTCAAAACCAAGAAAACTAAAGAAAGTGCTTGCCCAAGAAAACCTTTTATTGAAGACTTCGTTTTGCTCAAATGAATTCATAATGAATGCGAATGAAAATAGATCAATCAAATCGACCTTATCTGCAGAATCGAGCTTTTTGAGCGCTTCAAGTAACAAAACCCTAACACTAAATGATTCTATGTTTCCTAGTATACATTCTGTCAACTTAACAACACTTAAATCACCGAAAAATGTAAATCCATACAAAACAGATGTTATCAATGTAGCTGTAGCTGTTGGGTGTAATAAAACTAAAACAATAATACCTCCTTTTAACGTCAATGAACAAGATAGATATTATTTTAAAAGCAACGAAACTATTGTCCTCCCAAATATACCTCTAACATCTCAAGTTATAATGGACAGTGAAAATGTTTGTTTTAATAATGAAGTTAACAACCCTAAAAAGGAGATCGATTCATTAATTGGAACTAAAGATACGATGGATAACTCCAGTTTTGGCGTTTCATGCGATAGCAGTGATGCGTATGTCATTGCAAGGACTAGTTCAGATTTCAACAGCTCAAATTTGTCAACAAGTATTCAAGATTGTGATAGCTCTGTAACAGAACGAGTGGGAAACAAAACTGATGTTGATTTAAATACAAACAAAATAACACGTAACAACACGGTAATCAATATGGGATTAGTTCCTGATGATAATGTTACCATAGTAGAAACGAATAACAATGTTGCTGTCACTAAAGAACTAAAGAAATATACTATTGATCAAAATAAAAGTGAAATTACAATTAATTTCAATGCTAGAGATGAAACAAAAAACGTTTTGAAAAAGAATCTGGACGTACTCGAAGATTTTGCTCCAAGAAAAATGATTAACTTACCAGATAATAATTTTATTAATGCACAAATAGGAGAAAACGCGAAGCCTTTTTCGGACGATTTAAAGAGATACACACCTGAAAGTTTGGCTGATCTATGGGATAGAATTGTTATAATGATTGATATAGCTGTAAAACGTATAGAGGATACAATTTACAAAAAAATTGAGGAATGGAAGGGATATTTAAACTCATTTGAAATTCATAAGAGCCATGGAGCTGAGCAGGAAGTATCCAAAATTATTGAGCCTGGAATCGAAGTCGTTTCAAGTATCGATGAAAATTTAGAAGTAGCTCAAAATAAAGTAGACGTAAACGAATCGATCCAATGCAATTTGATAGAAAATAGTATAATAGATAAACTAGCATTGAAACTTGGCGCTTCACAAAGTATTAAGTCTAAGGATTCTTTCAAAAGGTTGAGAACGAAATTTTTCAGAGACTATTTTGAAGTCATAAAACCTCCAAACGATCTACACATCAACGATGACAATGAAACTTTATCTAGACAAGACTACATGCTCGAAAACGTGAAACAGTGGAATCGTATCAAAGCCGTTTTCGAAGTTCCGTTACAGTATCTCAAAGAGAACGCATTTGTGTTGGCCAGTGTTCCTATGTTTTTCCTTAGCATGCTATGTCTCTATGGTCTTATTGTTTTGGTTTTGAACCCTTGACTTATTATATTTCGTTTTTCGTACGAGAGCCTTTAGCTTTTTTTTAATGCATTGATTTTGCCTTATTGTGTGTTAAGTGATTACCGGAACATAGATATCACAACAATCACGATATCACTCATCACTTGGTTTGTTCCAAGGTCTCAAATTCTAATCATTGTGTAACATAAAAAAATGAAAAGTCGATTTCGTATTTGCAACACTTTTTTTCGTACTATTTTTAAATTACTTTGGATTAACCGTCATTGTCGAAATATGACTGGTAACATTACCCGCAAGAGGTGAATGAAATTTCCAATATATTCTTTCTGCCGATGAGCAGTCGTGCGCTCTGATTTTATAAAGACAGCCAGAAATACACAGGAAGATGTACAATACATTCGTGGCTACATCACGGGATATATTCACAGAATTCAAGTATATTCTTCAAGCCACTCAGATCTATTGGTCACCGCCACTGGTTTTATCTAAAAGTATTTCTAATAATGCTGAATCAGATGTTAATATTATTTGGGCACGTATAAACAGTCTGCGCTGGCGACTACGATTGCCAATTATTATACAATTACTAATTAACCACAAATGTAGGCTGAAATTTAAAAATTAAAAAGAAAAACAATTTCCAAGGATCCTAACATGTTTATTAATTTCATAATCACATCAATAAATATAGAACAATTAAAGAAAAATAAATAGAAGGAAAATTACTATGCACTTAATAAAAGACTAGACCATAGACTGAAGACTTATAATTACAAAAGAGGATATAGGAAAATGAAGATTTTATCATGAACAAAATCTTTTTTTTTATAGATTTTATGGCCTGATATAGAGACTTTTAAGCCAAGTCTTATATTTTCTCCATGAATAAAATCATGAACAATAACAACATGCTAAAAAACAATAGAACCTATTTTCGAAAATTCTATATTGTACCACAAGCGAGCAAATTAATAATTATAGAGAAGTGAAGTTGGGAAGAACCAATTTAAATTTTGGACTTTATGTAGGCTGCCTCTTCACATAACAAAGTTAGCAAGTCACCAAATTCTCTAGCCAATTTATTTTAATGATAGTAATTGTTTCATCGAGTTATAACAGAAAAGTCCGACAATATCTTTAACCGAATGTCATCACCGAAAAATGTTTTTAAGTACTTAATGATTTTGGAACCGAAATGTTCATAAATATTTAGTCTTTGCTTTTCTGGGTTAATACAACGGGACGAACAAATTCCTTCCGAAATCTGCATGGTAACAAATAACATTAGAATTATCTTCTACCCCAAACGTTAACGTCCATTAGATCGCGAAAGGAAATAGTGGCATTTTTGGATAAGGATTCTGGCTGCGAAAGCTATTTTCATTGGTAATGTTTCATTGGTTTACTGTTCTTGTGCTAAAACCAAATGTCCGGATCTGTCCAATGTAAACACGGGACGAAGACGACGAGTCCTGTGAAAAAAGTAATAGCATTAGAAATGGCGAGCCAAGATACTCACGTGTCCACATACAGATAACAAAATACAATATCAAGAACTTGTAAAACGTTTATAAGATATAAGTAATCAGAGATAAATGACAAACGGTCATCTGGGCTTACGATTGCTTGAACTGATATACATACTAGTATAGGTCTAAATTTATGCAAATATGTATATATAAACACCTAGGCAAAGAATCGTTTGTCCGTTGTGGGAATCGAATCCAGAATTCGCGTCAAAGGTACTACGTACTACGCAAGAGAGTCACTCAATACTTTATTTGGCGCTTTCCACTAAATTCCAATCATATCATGATCATATCATATCTGATAATCCAAAATTTCACCGCTAGTAGTAAATTTAGCGTCTCCATTATTATTTACGATAAGAGGGAGATAATATTAACGTTTAATTTTGTATTTTGAGAAGATTATAGTCTAGAAATGCTCAGACACAAATAAACGGACTGTCCTCGCGGATTACTTCAATAATTTCGAGAGATTTTTAGATATATCTCGGGATATTTACCTGAGTTTAGCATTTTTCCTCCTACCCCCGTTGGAGACCGCCACGGCCTGGGCGATGGCAGGACCTTCCTCCGTTACTTCCTAATAATCAACCAAATAATTAATTTAGCGGGTCACGAGTGAAAGTCGTGTCCTTCGATCCAGTTTTAAGGTATTTTAATGTACAGTCAAAGCAGAAGATAATAACGCACCTTTAGAATTTAAGTGGCTTAATCAAAAATTCTTATTTTTTTGCAAACTCCAAAAGTTGAATTATATTATTGAAGAATTTTTATATCAATATTTTAGTTTTTAATACTTATGATATGCGCTTTATTTTTAAGAGTCTGAAAGGGTTCTTTTTTCTTTTCTAGACTAAAAGAGACTTTAATTTTATAAACTGATAGATGAATATGTTTATAAGCTATTTAAAGTATAATAAATTTTTTTCTTAAAAAATTTAATTATGGCATTTCATTTATAAAATTGCGGTATAATAAAAGTTGAAAACATCATAACTCAATTGTTTTTCATTGTTCAGTTACGTGATCAGAATCTTAGGCCGATTTCCTTGCACACCTATACAGAATGTTTACCATTCCAATCTACCTTACAGCTCCCTTCACAATCTTAGCTTGTACTTGTATAATAATTTTGGTAAGTAAATAAAGGAATTGATAGGTGTCCCGAGCTTTTCACACATTCCGTGAGTTGATTTACGATTATGTAACATAGCAACGACAGAAATACATTAAATGAACTTCAGCGTTTAGGGAATCCCAAATGATTTTGGCATTAGGAGGGCAATTGTAATTTATATTCTTCTTCTTTGTCGCTTTCTTCATTACTGAAGGTCGTGTCCCTGAAACTTGACCGTGGCCTGTCTCGTGAGCTGTTTCCACCTCGTCCGGTCCTCAGGTTCTCGTATGGCGGTTGCGACTGGCTAGGTGATCGGCCGGGCGGTCTCTTTTCTTCTACCTTGCCCGTCACAATCACTTTGTCCAATTTATCTGATTGTCGGCGGGCAATGTGACCGAAGTAGCTGAGGATCCTCTGATAGCAGATTGTTGAGAACTTGACTTGGATGCGAAGCTGATGTAGAATAGACTTATTTGTCCTCTTGGTCGTCCACGGAATATCAATTTTTTGTATCAACGACCTATTTTGTTGGCGGGCTCGATAGCAACTGTACAATTCAAACCTAACTCAAAAATAAAATTTTGGATGAATACTGCGACGAATTTCAGTCAGATTCCAATTTAACTTACTTCGACAGCTGATTCAGTAGTGGTCTGGTATCCAGGGCTCGCCTGCTGCCTCGGCACTGGATAAGGAGCTCCATATTGGGTGATAACTCTTGGCTGGGTCCTGGAATAAGAATAATGCTAAGACTAAGGTTTTTCCAAACTAAGCTCTGCAGCGCTTTCTTAAATATTTTACCGCGAAGCGAAGTGAAACTGATACTTTTTTATATTGCCGCTGTGTGCTTGATGCTGTCCATGGGCGTTCATAATAAGAAACACTAATTGACTAATTGCTTGAAACGAAATATTGTTTTCCAAAAACATTGTGTGATCAAGGTTAGAGGACCATACACCGAAAATAGCCCAGTCATTTATCTGACAATACCGTTACGAGACCCTGGTCAACCCTGAGCTACATAATTCTATTAACTTTCAGCAGTATCTTCTGCTCAATCTTCTCCCTCCCTAATTTCCGGAAGACTAATGGAGGGATAATCGAATCCTTTCACGAACACATTCTATTCTATCAGCCCACAGACGTCCACTGCTAGACATAGGCCTCCCACAAGCCTCACCACAAAGATCGGTCCTGCGCTGCCTGCATCCAGCGGATCCCGCAAACTTCAATAGGTCGTCAGTCCATCTTGTGGTAGGCTTACCCACACTACGTCTTCCGGTACACATAAAAACTCCAAATTAGTATCATCTCCAAGATGGTCAAATCGAAAATTCTGCCACCGTTTCCCCTTTCATTGCCCAATTAGAAAGTATTTCAATTCACGAACACCTAAAAACTGTAAACTAGTATCATCTCTAACATGGGCAAATCGATAATTCTTCCACCGTTTCCCATTTCGTTGCCCAATTATAAAGTGTTTCAATAGTGAAAGTTCAAAGTTACACAAGTAACGCAATAATATCCGAACTCACATTTATAATTTACTGTTTTGTTCAATTAAAGGTTATCAATATGCGACGCCGAGTTAGGGCAATGTTCACCATTGTTACGAGTCTCATTTACATAAATCGAAATATATTGTGGATACACGACGCAAATATTTGTATTGTATAAGCGATATACGACAACTATGTTACAATCTTATCACGTTCAGTGAAACTAGTGTCCTTAGTATGAATATAAAATGATTTTTCGGTAGGCAGCGGCTTGGCTCTGCTCTTAGCATTGCTGAAGTCCATGGGCGACGGTAACCACTTACCATCAGGTGGGCCGTACGCTCGTCTGCCTACAAAGGCAATAAAAAAATAAACAATAATAATAGCCTTCGAGGAAAAAGAATTATCTTTAAATAAATTCTGACGCTTCTCTTTCTTCTTTTGTGTATATTCATGCCTTCTGTAGTTGCCCTATCCATCATAGTACAATTTAGAAAATCTTGAAACCCCATTAAATCAGTCATCAAATATGGGTCCTGTATTTGGGATTGCCCAAATGTAGATGATGAAATGGCATTTGTATTTAAAAAACACTGGGTTAAGTATTTAATGAATAATAAGGAAAAACGAACAGTGAATCGAAAAATATAATATCGTAAATAAAAAAGAAAAACTCTTGCTTTTAAGTACTCCAACAGTGTTGACATAGTGTTTTCCATCAGGAAACTATGAATGAACACAAAATATCATAGCACTAAAACTTATTATGAAAGATGTACTCGGGACGATTTACCCACAATTAAAACCGGTAATTAGGCATGCAAATTAGGTAATTAAATCCATCCGCAGTCACTACATTTAAAAGAATATGAACAAATTTACTGGTGGTAGGACCTCTTGTGAGTCCGCACGGGTATGGACCACCAGCCTGCCTGTATCTGTCGTGAAGCAGTAATGCGTTTCGGTTTGAAGGGTGGGGCGGCCGTTGTAACTATACGGAGAACATCGAACTTATATCTCAAAGTAGGTTGCGGCATTTACGTTGTAGATATCTATGGGCTCCGGTAACCACTTAACACCGGGTGGGCCGTGAGTACATCCAACCAAGTAAGCAATAGCAAAAAAAACTCCCGATTAAAAAATATTGGCCATAAACTTCACTTAGTGTCGCGTACGGCTAATATGTTTTCAGTAATACATTTAATTATTAAAATTCTGTATGTACACCGACCTTGCTCCAAATACGGTGGCCACTGCAGTCGCTTTCGACCCCTCGTCATCATCTTCGGCCTCCTCGGATTGCTCAAGGTCGTTTCCTTCTTGATCTACGTCCAGCCCACTTTGCAAGGTACCTTGGTTTTGTTGGGCAGGCTGAGCTACAAACTGAGGCTGGAATTGCCCTTGATAGAGCTGATCTTGACTGATCAGCTGGGCAGGGAAAAGTGGGGCCTGATATTGATTGACGGGTTGCTGAACGAAGACAGGCGGCTGATATACTTGAGGTTGCTGGTAGTTCGGTTGAGGTTGAGGTTGATAAACTTGAGGCTGGATATTTTCAACCTCTTCCCGATTGCTGTTCTCTGATTCTTGGGCTGGTTGCGCGGCGAATTGAGTGGGCTGGTTTATTTGCTGCGGTTGAAGAAGGACCGGTTGAGCCTGCAGTTGAGGGAACTGCTGAGATTGGTAGGTAGCGGCAGGTTGATACTGCACTTGCTGTTGAATACCGACAGCTTCGCTGTTGGGAGCCAGATAGTTTGGCTGGAGTGCTTGTGGCTGCAAAGCGATTGGTTGTTGGTAATTACTTTGGTAAGCAGGTTGGTACTGAGCTGCAGGCTGTTGAACCAGATAGTTTGGTGGGGCTTGTTCTCCGATCAAAAGCGGCGGATTTCTGTTTATATTTTGCTGAACTTCAACCTGTTGCTGAGCGAGTACAGAAGGGAAGGCAGCGAAGTGCGCAGGTCCATCGAACCCAGCTGGCTTCTGCTCAACTTGCAGCGGCTGGACGTAGCTATCCCTAATTTGTTGTAAAGGAACAAATTGTGGTTGCAGCTGTAGCTGAGCCAACGAAGCGAGGTACAACTCCCCAGGGTATTGCTGAATGTTCTGTCTCGTGATTTCCACAGATGTCTTCTGTTGTAGCTTGGCTGGAGAGCTGTCGTCTTCTAAGATCTCTCGTTCATTCAGATTGGCTTCGGTGACTTGAGTGGCGGGAGCTTCTGTGGTCCTCTCAGCAGGCGTGGTCGAAGTCGGTCGCGCAGTGGTTTTTGAAGCGAATTGCCTTGGGGCTTGTGGTGCAGGAAGGTTATTAGCTTGATTCTTAGCCTGAGCTGCCTCTAGTTGCTTTTGCCTCTGGAAAGTGCGGTAGTTCTCTTGTTGGATCTGGTACTGAAAAGAATGTGTAAGATGAAATTAGAGAAATAATTTACAACCAGCAGCAAATTAGTTGCTCTCCTGGTATTACTAGAGCCAACGAGTGACTAATATTATATGATATGACGATACTAATATTATAAATCTGAAGAGTTTGTTTGTTTGAACGCGCTAATCTCAGGAACTACTGGTCCGATTTTAAAAATTCTTTCAGTATTAGGAAGATTTCAGTATTATTGAGGAAGGCTAATAGGCTATATAACATCATGAGACCCATACAAGTGGAGCACCAATAAAGAATGTTTAAAAATATTTTCACTTTCTACGTAAATGAAGTAGGGGGGTAAAATTTAGCGTCATGTAACTATTCCACGGGGACGGAGTCGCGGGCAAAAGCTAGTCACTTATAAATTTCTGTTATGAATAACAAAAAAAAATACATTCAATGTCCCAAAATTTATCCTAAGACACATATATGCTATTGATCTAAATTTATGAGGTACCTGATTCTGCTTGAGGTTTTCGTCTAAGTTCTTAATGTCAGAAGTAAAATATGGCCCTTGATTCTCTTGGCCATTTATTGGAGAAGTCTGGAATATTGGCTGCTGCTCCTGAGTAGGTAGACCTTGGACTGACACGTCATTGGGTATTCCATACTCGTTGCTAGGTATTACCGGAATGGCTGGATTCCTTGGGTCAAAAGGTGGCAGATAGTTTTGGGTTTGCTGTGGCTGCAACAAGAATTACGTGGTGAGTATTAAAAAGACTATCTCGTGTGTCTTGATACATTATGCCAATTTGTGGGTAGTTATGCAAATAATGGTGTACAAAAATGGCCTTATTGATATGACGCTTAAAATGCATTCGTAGTGAGTGGTGATGTGATGGAGGGCGGTCACGTTTGATGTCTATGGACTCCAATACAACTCAACACCAGGTATGCCGTGATCTCGTTCAACCAACTAGGGTAATAAAAAAATAATACTCAAGGAAAATTAAGGTAGAATTTTTTAAGTTATCTAAATTCGTCTTTTTTTTTTTTATTGCTTAGATGGGTGGACGAGCTCACAGCCCACCCGGTGTTAAGTGGTTACTGGAGCCCATAGACATCCACAACGTAAATGCGCCACCCACCTTGAGATAAAAGTTTTAAAGTCTCATATAGTTACAACGGCTGCCCCACCATTCAAACCGAAACGCATTATTGCTTCACGGCAGAAATAGGCAGGGTGTTGGTACCCACCCGCGCGGACTCACAAGAGGTCCTACCACCAGTAAAAAACTGTCTTACCTGCAACTGTCCTCGTTGCGGCAACACGAAGGCTGGGCCTTCAGGTTTCCAGCCGCTTGGAGCGTAGGGCGCCGGAGCCTCTGCTACCACACTGGCCAACGCCAATATCACAGCCAATAATTCCTGAGGAGTTGACGTCAGTTAAGACCAAACTAAGATGGAACGATTGAAATTTTCAAACTCCGAGTTTGCGAGATGAAAATGTCTAACATTAATCGCAAATAAAAACCAATCATGCTTCATTTCAGGATTTGTATTTTTAAATTCTAGGTATTTATATATAAAATATTATTACAGCTATAAAAATTAAAGCTTTAAAAAATTTTAAATATCAAAATAAATACATTAATCGCTTAGGAGCGATGTCTAGTCACCACATATACGATATCGTCAATTTTACATTGTGCAAAATTTTAAAATGAACAAAATAATTTATAATCATTAATCAGATTTAAAACAGAACACATCGATTGTTAAAAACGAAAAATTGTTTATCGATAATGTAATCAAACACTAGTCAACAAAGCGGGTATACATAAAAACACACGTGCAATCACCTTCATTATGCCGATGTATTACTTCAAGTTGCGATTCACACCATCTTTTTATAGACAATAGTGATGAGACATTGTTATTCGGGATGCGTGCTTATCGACCTTACTATTAGGGATGTGCGAGGTGCATGCTAATTTTATCGACTGTCGTTTTTTTTCTTGGTTATAACTATTGAGATCTGATTTAAATGAAGTGAGATTTTAGAGCACTTTTCCTTATAAGACATATCACACACGGTCATCTCATCCGGAACTAAGATTTCCTGGGCTCCCATCTATACTGATATGTTCAAATAAGAACCGGAATGTATTCGCGATGTGGGAATCGAATCCACGACATTTCAACCAGGTATCAGGGGTAATAACTTCTGCGCCACAAAACTAATCAATGACACTGAATAAGTTGCTTGTTTTAACACGCTCTTATTAGCTTGGTATGTATGTTTGTTTGTATGTAACGGAATTTTTGAACGGCCTTTTGAAGTCACTGATTTGAGGACCTGTGTGCTTAGTGCGAGTTTTTTAACGTTGTCGATAGCGTAAAAGTTAGCTCATATTTGTATGGAAGGGGATAGTTTGCCTGCGTTTGCCGGTAGGGGCGCTGTTCCAACTGCATACAAAACTGGGTTAACTTTTACGCTATCGAGAACGTTAAAAAACTCGCACTAAGCACACTGAAGACATCCAATTAACTCGAAAATCTGTACATACATCAAAGACCTATGACAATACAATAGTTCTGACTTCGCTCTAATATCCTGACCAGTTGTCTTGTTAGTTCCACTTGATTCAGTTTACTATCCCAGCGTGTTTTTCTTAAGTCCTTAAACTACATTCATTATTACTTTGATATTCCCCTTCCTTTTTATTTAGACGACACGCATGTGGGTATTACGTTAAAATCTTTATAAAGTCGTTATATTATTAAAAAACTGTTAGTATTATAATTATTATTTGGAAGCAATACATGCGGCTCATGGTCCGCTGTTAAGCGACACAAACGCTTCTGCTTAATAACCAGGAATAATACTATGATATAACTGTACAAGTTGCTACTTATTTTGTATTTACTTGCATATTTTTAGTATTTATTTGTATTTAATCGTATGTAAGTCTATCTTAATATTGTATTTATTTTTCACATGTGTATATAAGTATATATTTTTATGTGAGTTTATTAAGATATAGCACCGTCCATGCTAGTTTGCTTATTCCTCTCCCTGCAAGGTTGCCTGGAATAGATCACTTTCAGCGATAAGGCCGCCAATTTATGTCACCGTCTATTATTTGTTTTATATGCTTACTCTGTACATGTGGTGTTAACTAAAGAGTTATTATATTATTGCTATTATTAATAATACGTTAGACTCTTATGTTAGACTCTTATGTTATTATGTTAGACTCTTCGATCATTACGTATTGTGAGCCTGCTATATTTTCCCCCTACCTATTCGCTGGTAGTCTAAAGGGCTATCCACCTACGCCTGGACGAGTAGGTGAGCTCACGGGCTCAACCTGAGAGAATGTTCTAACACTAGCCCTAGCAAGAGCATTGCTTCGCAGAATCTACCACCGGATCGGAATCGCGAGCCACTGAGAAAACCCGGCGAGAAACTCAGTGGGCTGTGTCTATGGATTAATTTACTGGCCGAGTCCTTCGTCGTAAGCGACGGGTTCGGCGCGGACGGCGACCGGTGCTTGTGGTACCTAAAAGCACCGTTAATGGATCGGGAGGATCCGTAATGACGTGTTTAAGACGACGTCGACTGTTTACCACGGGTAAGTACTATCTGCCTATTTCTGATACGGAGCAGTCATACGGTATGTTTTCAAGGATGAAACAGCAATTGAATCTCAGTTCTCATGTCCCAAAGTGGGGTGTGACATTCGCAATCTAATAAATCTCCGATAACCACTTAACAGCAGATGAGGCGTGAGCACGTTTTTACGTGAGCACGAGCATTTCATAAGCAACAAATAAAAAAACATGCGTATTTTATATGCCTTAGTTGCCCTAGGTGGGTAGAAGCGGTCCAACTGGATGCCGCCCTTCGACCTTGAGACATGAGGTCGATGTTTCAATATCATCACGTCTGTCCTGAATACATGCATGACTGACTCGGCGGTACAGTAGCTAGCGGCTCCGACTGTTGCGCCAAGGGTCATGGGTTCGATTCCCACATCAAACTAACATTCGTGTGATGAACATTTTGTTTGCTCTTAGTCTGGGTGTTCATTATCTATATAATAATATGTATATAATGATATGGAATATTCTCTAAAATGGTTGAACAATAATAAAAGACCTCATTGTGTTTTTTTTCTGTACAATATTAAGGAAACAACATTTATTTAAAGCCTTTATTTTCCACAGCATTATTGTATTAAGTAAAACTGAACTCCTCTTTTTTCTCAATGACAGAGAGCTCAGTCAATCTAATTAAGGAAAATCTTTTTTTTTTAACTAAAAAGTATCAAAGGTTCTGTGTAAAAGCCAGCTGACCCGGCAGACTTCCTAGTGCCTCAATCGATAAATAAAAGACCTAAAAATTTGTATAAAATAAAGTTAAAACAAACAAAAGGAATCCGTCCGACGGCGGACACATCAAAGGAAAAACAAAATTGCTATTTTTATGTAATTCCGAGCATTTTCATATTTATCTACCTTTTAAACCTTCTCTGGACTTCTACAAATAATTCAAGACCAAAATTAGCCAAATCGGTTCAGCCGTTACGACAGGAAAAATCCCGAAAGATGTCGAACGACAGCGGACACAACGACCCTACCAATGACAAATTCGATTTGGGGGACTGTTACGCTGCTGGCCGTTCTCTGGTGGGGCATATGCAGTAATTTTTTTATTGCTTAGATGGGTACTTTGGCCACATTGCAAGAAAGGATCACGGCAGCTTGGAGAAGCTAATGATGACTGGCAAGGTGAACGGAAGAAAACCACGAGGTAGATGCCCGACACGTTGGACTGACCAGATCCGCACTACCCTCGACACCACAGTTCACGATGCTCTACACTCGGCGGCAGATAGAGGCAAATGGCGTGGTATGGTCCGTAATAAACTCTTGTTGCGAGGAGGTGGTCACGACCCTCAATATTGAGGAAACCGAGGCAAGAAGAAGAAGAAAAGATGGGTGGACGAGCTCAGAGCCCACCTGGTGTTAAGTGGCCCATAGAAATCTACGACGTAAATGCGCCACCCAAATGAGATATAAGTTCTAAAGTCTCAAGTATAGTTAGAACGACGGCCCCACCATTCAAACCGAAACGCATTACTGCTTAACGCAGAAAAAGGCGGGGTGGTGGTACTTACCCGCGCGGACTCACAAGAGGTCCTACCACCAGTAATTTTGCAAATTATAATTTTGCGGGTTTCATTTTTATTACATGATGTTATTCCTTCACCGTGGAAGTCAAAACATTTCTTGAGTATATTGTGTTGTGTTGTGTTATACTGAACCGATAACACAACCAACCAAAGTTTCGATCATGAAAGGCCCTAATTTGGAAAATAATCAAATAAATAAAAATAGTGAAGTGCTAACCCTATCTATATTAGACATATATCTCAGCTTAGGGAGAGAAAATTACAAACAAGCACGTCTTGAATAAAACATTGTATTGTTATATTACGTATACATGCATAACATATTTTTTTTATCTGACAACATATTGAAATTCGATAAAAAAAATTGTTTGACTTCTTGGCGGGTACACGAGGAGTGAAGTTGTGTGATTTGTTTTGTCTATTTAGTATTTCTTCAGGTTTAAATGTGTAATAACGGTGGTTTATTAACTGTTTAGTATATCTGTGAAAGTGCACAAATGTGGGAAAATGAAACAAAGCCGTTGAACGTTATAACTTCTCGGGATCCTCCAAAAAGTCCACTGAAAAAATCTCAGTAAATTTACTGAGATTATATTTCATCCCATATCATCTCATCTCATTTCATCCCAATTGATTAATGTCTCAAATTAATCATCTCCATTTGATTTCACTCCATATTATCATTTTTCATAAAAATAAGAATATAAATTTGAATAAGACATGACCTAAAGGTCTTAGTTACCAGGTCATAAAATCCCACAAAAAAAAAAAAATTTGTAATGTGTAATCTAAATTTTGCGAGACGTCATTAACTAGAAGTGAGTAAAAAGCTCCGAAGTCTGTATAACAACACTAATTTTATCGAAATTGAATCTACACGACCGACGACACAGTTGATTTATATTCAGTAAGTTAAAACCTTTTTAAATATATCGATATATGGAGTCGACTATTATCAAAGGCGGCAATGTGACTTTTGGACAATTATTGGTAAACCAGAAAAACGAATTATTGACTTTGTATTCCGTTGGCAGTCACAAAACTCTTCTGAACGACATCTTAGATTTTTCTTCTTAGGTTTCTTAGGTTTTGAACCGTATTCTTTGAAGGAGACGATTATATTCAAATCAATCTGTATTGACATATCAATAACATTTTTTTGTCCAAATGCACAGATTGCTACCTTTGATAATAGACGACTCATATATCCCTGTATATGTATGTCTTATCTAAGGTACATTCGTTGCCTGAATTAGGCAGAATGAAGACGTCTTAGAACTGTTATGGTTTCGTGCTACACAATCTCTTTGAACGATTACCCACCAAACACCCACTGTGTCAAAGAAATAATGAAGATATGGACACATTCTGCGATAAATTTTTTTTATTGCCGTACAGGCAGACGAGCTTACGGTCCACCTGACGGTGAGTGGTTACCGTCGCTCATGGACGTCAGCAATGCCAGGGGCAGAGCCAAGCCGCTGCCTACCGCTTAATACTCTCCACAAGCCTCGTTTGAAGAAGGACATGTCATAGCGCTCACATATATATACATTATTACATATATGACGGCGCACCGACCTCCGGAGAATTTTTGGAAAAGGTGACGTCAGATAAACTGACGCCACCAACTCCATCACAAGGCTCACTCATCGCAAACGAAACAC